GTATCAATTACTATACCAAAATTATTATACCCATAATAATAGCTTTCCCATAGGACACTGAGGGTAGTTGGGAGGCTTAAGATGGGATAATATGTGTGAAGTTTTCACTTTATGCAACAATAATAATGGCTAACCTTTCAAGCATTTCCTGGCAATATGCACTTTTCCGACATCGTTTAAATGAATTCTCACAACTCTACACAACAGAGGTCCTGTTTATCATCCCTGTCTTGTTGACAAACAACTGTAGTTTAGAAGCCTTAAAGACCATGCCCAGGATCAGAACTAGGATGTGAATGCAGATCTAACCCTAACCCTACACACACTGCCTCCAAATGGGAGCTTTATAAATCACCGTCCAACACACAACCCAGCAGAACGCTGGCCTGAGAATCAGAAACAAGGTTCCAACTCTGAGGCGTAAGGTCTCGGACAGACCTGTGGCTTCTCTCAGCCTGTCCCCTATGCATTAACGGAAATAACAAAAGCCGTTCAGCCAGCTACACAGGATTACAGCCAGGCTCAAATCAGGCGTCGGATGTAAGTGTGAGGACCGACAAGCACTCAGCAAGCATCAGATGATAAACCTTCTTCACCCCACGCCAGTTCAGGATTCGAGCTCCACTTGGATACTTCCAGGGACAGGGAGCTCACTGCTTCCTTTAGCAGCTCATTCTGGTTGAAGAGTTCCTCCCTTTGCAAAGGCCAAAGGGACCTGCCTGTGACTCCATCTCCCTGGCCCTGCCAGGTCCTCTAATGACCTGCCAGCTGGGAAGAGTCATCGCAAGCACCCACACTCGCTAGTGAAGACCACGAAGGCTTGTGTCCTTGCTCTGTCATTCTGCCCGGGGCTCCCCAACCCCAGAAGGAGGCGATGAAAGCCATGATGTTCTTGGTTTGCTCTGGCTCCTCTCCTGGAGCTGACCCTATGCCTGTCCCTGCTTTTCAGACTCTGGGGCCAGGGGGAGACCAGCCAATCAAGAAGGACATGGAGGAAGTGGGAGACACTGCTGGCTGCTCCGACCTCCCACACTTCCTGGCACCCCTGCCCTTTGCAAACACCTGTGATGCCCCTACTGGTCCTGTCACCTCTGGCTGGCACATGAGCGCTGGGATCAGGAACCCAAGGACCTCAGACCGCTTCCTTTCTCTGCTCCCCCCACTACCACCACCACAGCAACCCCCAGTCACACTTGTGCCCTTACCTTAAAAGACTCCAGGAATCCCCCGTGGCCCCCGTTCTCGAACTTGTCCTCCTCCGGGCCCAGTCCTAGCATGGCCTGTGTGTGGGCGTGCAGCTCGTCGTGAAGGTTGTCCAGGAGGGCAGCCCTGGTCCGGTCCTAGACAGGAAGAGGACGGGGAAGACAGTGGATGAGCGGGTACAGACAGCCTCTCCTCATGGGCTAATGACACCTCACCTGAGGACTACTGTCCTTCCCAACCCACCCTGGTGACAGTGGGGACCCATAGCCAGGATGAGTTCACATTCACACGTTTGCACTTAACACTGAGGCTCTGGCCCGGCCTCCCGCTCTCAGCCCTCTGCCCTTCCTCCCTGGCCCATCCCATCACTCCCACCGCTCTACCCTGGTCAATCCCAGCCCAGATCCCTGCCCACGCCACATCCACGTGCCCAACTGCCCACTGCTCCTCTCTACCCAGGGGCCAGCTCCCAGGGACACCATGCACACAGGCCAGGACCAGCCCTTTCTGCACCCCAGCCTTTGCAGGCACCCCAGGATCAGCCGGTCCCAACAGAACTGTCTCCTAGTCAATGCCCTGTCACCAAAGAGCCCAAGCCAAAGGCCTAAGACTCACCCTACAATCCCACGTCCCTCCCACCTTTGCCTCCAGGAGTCCATCAAGTCTTCCTGACCCTAACCCTAAACCATTTCCTCCTGTGCAATATAAGCCTTCATCGTCTCCCCTGGACCCCTATTGATAGTTTCCAACTGGCCACCTGCCTGCACCTCCTCCCCGTCCATCCGCCCTCCCACACTGTCAGAATAATCCCGGTAATGTGCAAACCAAACCTGTCACTCTCCTGCCTGAGGACTTCATTAGCTCCCACCCCCTCTAGCTCGAAGCCCTCTGGATCTGACCCAACCCGCATCTCCAGCCGAGTCTCCCACCATCCCAGCCCCGGAAAATCCCCCTCTCAGGCCACACCAAACCCCCAGCAGCTCCCTCACCGAGTCAGGCCCTGATTCCTCCCGGCCTTTCCTCACGCTGCTTCCCATGGCAGAATAACCCTCCCCACTCTTTCCCCCTGGCAAAAGGCTCCGCAGCAGCTCAATATCCAGCAGCTCAAGAGCCACCTCCTCCTGGAAGCCCTCCCTGAACACACCCTCAGTCCCCCACAGGCAGAAGCAGTCACTATCCTCCAAGCAGTGCTGGCACACCGTGCTGCAATTGTCCCTTTGGTGACGGCCCCCTCCCGCCAGCCTGTGCGCTCTCTAAGGGCAGAAACCGTCTCGCTTATCCCTGCACCCCAGGGAACAGAACAGGGCCTGGCGCACAGTAGGCGCTCAATAAATGACTGGTGCATGGCTGACAAGACCCGAGGCCTGGATGGAGTTTCCACAAGAAGAAAGAGTCCCTGTATCGACACAAGGCCGAGGGCTCGGAGGGGCAAACACAGCGCGTCCGTCCCGAACAGCCCTCAAGAACACAGCCCCCGGAGAGGCCGGCTGACAGGCGGCCGGAGGGCAGGGGGAAAACCTGCAGAAACCGCACGCTCACCTCCAGCTTTGCGAACTTATCCGACTTGCAGCACGCGTTCTCTGCATTGGTGAGCTTGGTCAGCAGGAACTCCCTGAACTCCGGGCCCTGGAACAGACAAGATGGCCTGGAACTCTCCCACCTTCAGCTGCGGCCAGAGGGCTTCAGCCACGCTAACAGGCAGACAGAACGAGGGGTCTGGGGGGGGAGTCCCCGAAAAGTTCTCTTCTGAGATTTAGTCATTTCTAGCCCAGGCCAAGCCCACCTGCTAACAGGCCAACACGGAAACCAGCTTCCCTGGTCCTGGGAAATCAACCCTCCACACAGGGGCACTTCCATGACTGGAGGCAATTCTTGCCCCGGGCTCCTGGGACTAGGGCTGCGGTCCCCAACCCCCAGGCCGTGGACCAGTACCAGTCGGTGGCCTGTTAGGAGCCAGGCCGCACAGCAGGAGGTGAGCGGTGGGTGAGTGAGCAAAGCTTCACCTGTATTTACAGCTGCTCCCCATCGCTCGCATTAACGCATGAGCTTCACCTCCTGTCAGGCCGGTGGAGGCATCAGATTCTCATGGAGCCCAACCCCCACTGTGAACCGCGAATGCGAGGGACCTAGGTTGCATGCTCCTTAGGAGAGTCTAATGCCTGGTGATCCGAGGTGGAGCTGAGGCGGTGATACTAGCGCTGGGGAGCGGCTGCAAATGCAGATTATCACTAGCAGAGAGCTCTGACTGCACAATAAATGTAATGCACTTGAATCATCCCAAACCATCTCCCTCCCTGTCCGTGGGAAAATTGTCTTCCATGAAACCAGTCCCAGCTGCCAGAAAGGCTGGGGACCGCTGGACTAGAACACGGGATAAAAACTCTGCTTTTAGCAGAAAGGCAACCCCAGCATCAAACACCTCAAACAAACGGCCCTGCACAGGGCCAGACTGGCGGTGTGAGGACAGGTGGGGAGAGACTCCAACTAGGAGGATTCCCCTAAAACCTGCAAAAGGGTGTCCCCAATGTTCCCAGCCCCCCCCCGCCCCCGACTCAGCCACTGCCAGTCAAGAATGGAAACCCGGGGTCTTGGGTGTGAGAGGAGTAGGAAGGAGAATGTCTCACCTTCTGGAAAACGGGGGGGCTGGGCAGAGGTGGGCCAAAGGCAGGCACGTCTTCCCGCGCAGTGACAGAGACCTGAATGGAACAGTCACCGGGTGGGTCAGGGACAAGAGACGAGCGCAGGCCGTGGGGGAGCCACACTGCTCACAGCCAATCTGCTCACCTTCTCCCCACTTCCCTCCCAGAACACAAATGAAATGTCCCCGTGAGTGTCGCCGCACAGGCCCTGAGCCACCGGTCCTAGAAGTGGGGCTGGGCAGTGTCTGTCCCCGCGGGCCAGGGCAAGTTTGGCAAGATGACTGGATGGGGCTGGGGAGCAGCCTGGGACCCTAACTATAACGCAGTACAAGTGCCCAGGAGATGTCATCTCATCGCCTCGCTTGACTGTGATGCCACTCCTACAGAGAAGGCACGGTGAGAATTGCCATCCCTGATCAGGAAACACATGCCCAGAGACTCGGAGAGAGGTGTCGCGCAGGTGACTAGCAACCGACAGAAACAGAGGATCCAGACCTCTCCCAGCCCAGCTCCGGTTCTTTCTCCACCACTCTGATGCTCAAGCCTGGCCATACGTCAGAATCGCTTCAAGTGTTTAAAAAATAAATACCCACTGCAGGGGCTCCACCCCAAACCTAATGAATAGGAAGTTCTAGGTCCTGAGAGCTTTTGTGCAGCTGAGGGACTAGCATTGGGAGCCCTGGCCCCACACACAGAGTCAGCCAGTCTGGGTCCAGGCTGGGAATTGAGGGCAGGGGGCCCGTGCCGGCTCTGGGTGAAGTGCACGCCTCTGGCCAACCTGAGTGAGGCCTGAACTCTGAGAACACCCAGGTGCTCTGCACGGGCGTCTCCCAGGCTGGGGACAGGCTCCACACTTCCACCTCCTCTCTGCACGGAGGTGCCCTGGTTTCACCTGTGCTCAGCCCGAGAGGCTGCCGGGCTCCCGGGAGACTGCCCTCTCCCTTCCCCCAGCGCCTGCTGACGTGAGCCCAGCCCTGGCGAGCCGCCAGCCTCCCCGGCCTGCGAAGTAGGGCAGATGCGGAGAGTCTGCCAGACTGGGTGAGCAGGCAGCTCGGAGCCGGGCCGAGGCCAGGCCCTGCCAGGGGCCGGAGGGGAAACAGAGCGGGAGAGAGCTGGTCCACGCGGGCTTTCTCTCCCCAGGCTCCCAAGCTCAAGGCCACCTGCAAAGGCCCAAACGGCAGTAACCAGTGTCAGGAAATGGTGCATGTTCAACTGACGTGACTCCTGGCTGGCTCCAGCCCCTGAACACGGTTCCTACCACCACCCACCACGCACCAGGGGCCCAAGTCAAGAGTTCCACCCACAGAGCCAGGACCTGGGGCAGGGGCTGGTGGGAAGGCCGCTGAGAGGCTGCTGAGGCACCTGGGACCAAGGACGGAGGGCAGGCCCGGTCCCTCCTTCCCAGCCCGACTCCCCCCCTTCCTTCCCAGGCTGCATTAGAGCGTCTATGCTGACGGGGTAAGTGGCTTCAGACACGCTCTTCAATCCATCCAGCCGGACAGCAGCCGTGTTGGAAACCCAGGGGCAGGATCCTTCCTCATGCTGTCCGGCCATTCATCTTCCGTCCCCACGGAGCTCCCTCCCCGACCCCGTCCCGACAAGGCGGCTAGGCCTTTGTTCCCGCCCTTGGGGACATCTGGGCTGCTGGGCTGAAAGCAGAAGTTGCCTGAACGCAACCCCACCTTCCTGTTTTCTAAATTCAGTGCGGGCCACCCAGCGAGGGCCCGGCGGGCGGCAGGCAGAGGCAGGTGACTCTGGGGAAGGGCATCTTCGGGGCTGGAAAGCGGAAGGAGCTTGGGGGTGTGGGTCGTAGGATGCACCGGGGGCCGCAGAGGGCTCGAAACTTGACATAGTCCCCACACCCAAGTGTGGCCTGGAGCCTTGGAGGACCATGGAAAGTGCTGGAGCAACCAATGAGTCGTTGTGGGAGAGGGGAGGGGCTGCAAAGGCAGGGCCCACCCCCACAGCACTGGAACCTAGTGGGACTTCAGGAATGGGGGCGAGAGGACCCCAGAGAGGGAGCACGAGGAGTCCCAGTGAGGGCTGAGCTGGAACTTCCCTCCAGTCTGGCAGGATGAGGACCCAACTCGTTTCTGAGAAATAGTCCAGGGTGACACTCCTCGCACACCCCGGCCTGTGGACTCAGTTTCCCACGTGCCCCGACAGCTCGGGGACGAAGACCCCAGGCAGACCCAGGTAGGAATCTCAGCTCCACGGCTCCCGGGGCCTGTGGCCTCGGGCTCTCAGTGGGTTAAGCTCCCAGCCCCAAGTTCTCCCCTATAAGGCACAGCTAGCGAGAGGCCCTGCCCCACCAGGGGCTTGTTAGTGTTCAAGAAAACCATGCTCCTAAGGGCCTGGCACGGTGCCTGGCAGCAGCGCCCAGCAAGGGTGACCAGCATCAGCCGGGACTTTTGTACTTTCCCTGCTAACCTGCCCCTAACACAGGGCACCTGAAATAGGCAGGGTCACCCCCCAACCACTTTGCAACCCACACACACCCCAACACTCCTTCTCGACTACCCCTCCTCCCCTCCCACAGCATGTCAGGGCCAGGAGCTCACAGGTTGTCTACTCCAACTTCCTCACTTGACACAGAAGGAAACAGGTGCAGACAGGGAAGGAACTGGCCCGAGGTCACACAGCAGACGCAGGGCCAGGACCAGAACCCCAGGCTGCCAGGTCCCTCCACAGAAAGGAAGGACTCCTTCCCGCACACAGCCAACCCTGTCCTGCCACGCTCTTCTTTCCTGCTGCTGGGGGCAGTGCCCCGCCCCTGAGGAAGTCTCAGCCTCCTCTGCCACAGCCCCTAAAGCCTGCAGGAGTCAGCTAAGATCCTGTCTCACCCAGACCCCCTGCGGGATCTGGCCAGGTCCTCCTCGCAGTCTGCCCCTTGCCTGGGTGCTGCTGGGGGTGTGGGTGGACAGCGATTTGGGAGCACCTTGGAAGCGGCTCTCCCCCCCTGCCCTCTGCCTCCCTGTCCCATTCACGTGTCCTGCCTTCCAGCTGCAGCGTCCACCTGGCAGGTGGAGTCCTTCAAGGTCCCACACCTGGGGACTCAGCCTGCTCTTCCCAGGGGCCCTGCCTCTTGCCACCTCTCTGAGGACAGTGGTTTGTCCTGGATCTCAGACTGTGGCTTGGAAGACTTCTAAGCATCAAAGCTGGAGGTGGGGGGACACTTCTTTGGATCTCTGACTTTTCTCTGCATGGGTGCACCATTCCACTAAGGTCTTGGGAACACGGAGAAGTTAGCTGAGATCCATTTCCTGTTAGGAATGAAAAGCAAACGCTAACCATCCACAAGAGGCCTCATCCTGCTAGCAGACAAGCCTCACGCACATGACAGCCTGGCAGGGCCTGGGCGCCCTCCTATCTCACAGTTTTATTTCTGGGATCCTTCTCAGCAATGCTACTGCTTCCACTGGCTATTAAAAGAACCAGTTAGCTCTTTGGCTGAAGTGCACTCACTGCCTCTTCTGTCCCATACCTGGGGTCAGGAAGGCCTCGAAGGCTGATCCTGTACGTGGCTTCCACCTACCCCGCCCCAGCACGGCGCCTGGCACGCAATAAGCACCGAATGAATCGACTTGCTCCCACCAGCAAATTAATCCAGCAGCTCTTCGAAGTGAATGCCCACTTCAGTCAAAGCAAGTGATTTCAAGAAAATGCCCACACCGACCTTCTCCAAATTTTCAGCACAAATTGCCCGGTGCCAGAGAGAGCACAAGTATGAACATGGGCACCTAAAGGAATCAGCTCACCTCAACAGGAGAGTTGTTTAGGGGGGCTGTTGTGTTTTTTATTTTTATTTCTTTCATAATTCACATTTGGCTTTAAAAGTTGATGTGAACTGTGCACTTAATACTTATCTGGGCTGAAGCGCTTATGGCACGGTGAACTCCAGGAATCGGCACTGGCCTAAGTCATTACTTAGGAAACATTTCCAGGCCTCGCTGTTTTTCCCATGAGCAGAGACAGCTCATTTTTCTTCTCCCTCAGAACAATGGTTCCTGATAGTTTCTGGAGCAGGGAGCCCTTTGAGAACTTGAGTTATGACCAGTCTTCCCAGGAAAACACAAAAACTCAGCACTTTGCGCATATCCGCAGGGGGTTCAGAGACTGCCTGACCCTGACCTTAGCCTGTCTCCCGGGGTCCCACATCCCCCAAACCACTGTGACACAGAGACACTGCCGCCCAAGAGGTCGAGACTGCTTCCGGTGGAGAAAGGGGAGGGATTAGCAACATGGCCACCAGGATTGGCCGGGAGAGAGGAGCTGCAAGAAAAATGGGCTTTGGTCTCATCTGCACTAATCAGGGTTTTGAGCCACACCACTTGCTGGTCAGGAGGCTTAGACCCAGACGACCGCACCCCGCCTCCCTGGAAAGTCATCAAGATCAGTCCTTTGCCCAGAACGGCCAGATCAGGGGGTGCGCCCGGTGGCCAGGACCTACGACGAGGCCCCCCGTCTTCAGCCCTCTCACCATAAAACCTTCCTCCCTTTTCTCTCTTCCCTTTGCTATCACTCTTCTTCCTCTCCCCTTTCCTGACAGTTCCTCTCCACTCTTCTGGCTCTGCCTTGCTCCAGCAAAAGTCATTCCCAGATTCCAAACACAACCCCCGGGGGCTTCTCAACCCCTGAGTCAGACGCTGCCGAGCCTGGGGACAGCAAGATGGATGGGATGACCTCAGAAGGTGCTCTCCACCAAGAGTCTAGCTCCAAATCCCAGCAACCTGGGAACTCACAGAAGAGCTGTTCCTGCCGAGAACTAATGACGCCACCGAATCCACAAAGTACAGTGAGGTAGGTGTCCGGGCTCACCACTGCCTCCGAGGAGGCTTTCTCCTTACCTTGTAGGATGGGGTCTCCGTGCCCAGGGTCTCGGCCTGCACAACGATGTAGGCGTGTAAGAAATTGGAGGCGATCATGTCTGGGACAAATGGTGTGTTTTCTTCTTGGAAGATGATGGCCACGATGTCATTCCCAATGTGTCTCTTTCTCTGGAGCTAAGCAGAAAGTGTTCAATTGTTACGAGCCAGTCAGGAACATCCCGAAAACAGCCCAGGGGCTGCACGGGAAATTCCTCGTTATTTTACCTTTTATATGTAAACCCTGAAACTCTGAGACCGAGCTCTCCGGGGAGCTGCTCCTTTCAATCTTTAGAAGCCACGAAAAAGAAAAAACACGGGGGAGACGCTCAAGGTGTTAGGTGGAGGCTAGCAAGCATCTTACGGACCTCTACAAAGAACACGGCCCTGACTTTGAACTTGGGGAGTCTATTTAAAAGGTGAGGCCAGGTCTTGCCCTGGTAGAGCCTATAACTGATCTGGGAGAAACACAAAAACCAGCCAGCAAGCGTTAAATCAGTTGCTGCACGTGAAGTGCCGGACAGCCCTGGGAACAGAGGAGGGTGAAGTCAGAGGGCCCGATAGCAACCCAAGAGGGCTTCCTGGAAGAGGAGACGGGGGAGGGGTCTTGATGGAAATGTGGATGAGAGGGATGAGGGGGTGGATCACTGTACCGGAGGGGAGAAGAGCCATGACGAGAGAGGCACTGGTCACCTGGTTTGGTGGAGGTGAGGTGGAGGGGGGAACCCAACCTCGACTCAGTATCCCAAGCAGTGCCAGGTGCTTTTGCACGTGACCCCAGTCACTAAGCACCCACCGTGTGTCAGGAACCATGCTGGGCTGACCATGACTGACTTCAAATGTCAAACCTCTCCTGTGCACACAACCTGGTTAGGTGCCTGCCTATGCATTTGTTCCTTTATTAAGCACCTACTGCATGCAGGCCCTATGCTCATCTACTGAACACCTGCTATACACACAGCACCGTGCTGGGCACTTTTGCACAAATTACCTCCCTCACTCCACACACATCATCCCATTTCTCAGGAGGAAAAAATTAACATTTAATCAGTCCCTGCCAAGCTCTGAGCCAAGGTATACCTCCCGACGGACACACGCAAGACAGAGGCCCCGACAGAACAAGCCTCAGCCCCGGGCAGGTAAGAGGGGCCTGCAGGGAGCCAAGGGACTGAAGGTGAACCTCTAAGACAAAAGCCACTTTGAATACAAAAGGAACCTTGCTCCCATTTGTTTCTGGAACATTCAGGAGTTCTTTTAGAGCCAAATCATAATCTAATTTGCCAACTTCCTTTTTTCCTAAGCAGCCAGGGACTGTGTTTACAACTTTACATCTGTCCTGCCTCCCCGGTTCCCTGCTCAGAAACAAACAGGTCAGAGTCTGGGCACAGGCCCACCTGCCTTCCTTATTCTCCTAGAGACTGCAAAGAGACAACAGACAGGAAGGGGCAAACGGTGTTGCAACCACCAGGGACTGGCGGCCGGGCCGGTTTCAGGAGAGCCAGGCCTCCCTGGGGATGGGTTGCTGTCAGAGCAGCAGATTGGAGAGCGAGCAAGGAAATGCTGGAATCAGAGGGCTCATCCAGGCGAACCTGGCCAAGGTGAAGGCTGAAATCCCGCAGGTGTGGTGAGAGACGAGGCTGTGAGCCCGGGCAGGCTGCGGGTGGGGGCTGGTGGGGATTCTCACACAATGACCAGCTTTGCATTGCTGGGGCAGGAAGGGGACGAAATGACCAGTGGACTGGACAGACATTCAACAGCTACTGTGTGGGGAGCTAGCCACGAGTCAGGCATCCTATAAGCCCTGCATTCAGAAAGCTCTATGACTCCCACAGCCACACTCTGATGTAGGCGGGGTTATCCCCATTTTACAGATGAAGAAAATGAGGCGCCAAGGTTAACCAGCTTGCCCAGAGTCACATGCCCCTCATGGGCCAAGCTGACTTCGGGCCCCATCTGCAGACCCCGCCATGCGCTCCACCACCACCCTCCCTGGTCAAGGCTCCCAGGCTTTCTCCCTGCACTGCCCCTCATCAACTGAGAACCCTCAGGAAAGCCAAACCGCTTAACCACCCTGGGCTGCAGTTCCCCCCTGAGACGGTCCAAGTGGGGATAGCCAGGAGCCCTGCGCTGCCTCCCAAAGTGGCTGCGGCAGCGGGGCCTGCTGAGATCACACGGCAGAGCAGGTCCTGGCTGAACAACCGGCCTCCTGACTATGAAAAGGGGGCGGGGGCCGCAGTCCCTCAGGCGGGTCAGAGCAGGCGTGGGCCCTCACCTCGCCCAGCCCGGACTCCCGCTGCCCTCCCCTACCAGGTTACCTGCTGGGCGTCTCCCTCGGTAAATGGCAGCTTTGTGGAGACGTGAAACATGATCTCCCTGTCCCGGAATGTCGTGTACACGGATTCCACCCCTGTCTGTCCGTGGGTCACGTCCAGGCCTCCTCGGAAACTGTCAGCAAAACAGGGCAGGAGCAGCAGGGGAGAGAAGGAGAGTGAGGGAAAGAGTGGGCAGCTTGGTGCCACCTTTCCAGGGACATGCAGCGGGGATTGCCTGAGGACACGGGGAGCTGAGAGCAGAGCAGACTGCGGTGCAGGAAACGCAGGGAGAAATGCCAGACTAGCCCTGGCATTCTACCCCTAAATCCACTGTGTGAGAGACAAAGGCGGAACCTCCATTTCGAGCGCTGGCCGTGTCCCCTCCACACCGGATGGTCACGCGGGAAGGGAGGCCGTCCACCCGCAATCCCACACAAACGCCCGTCCCAGGTGCCAGACGCCCCAAGGCTGGGCACAGGCCTTTGCTCTGCACAAGGCCATGTCTGAGTCCCAGGCCCAGAGCCAGGGCAACCGGCCCCCCTGCCGGATGGGGATGAGCCCCACAGGAGAACGCAGAGTCAGGCAGGGGAGGTGACAGGTGACGGGAACGTGACTTCTACCCAGCCAGTCCCTGATATGGAGGCCCAATTGCAACGCCCAGCTGGGGCTAATCCAGGAAGGTCTTTCTCTGGCTCCCTCCTCGCAGGCAGGAAAGAAAAGTACTAAGCAGCTGGGTGGGCTTCCAGGAGCTGTCTCTCCCTTCTGACTGTATAGAACACAGCTGCCAGTGTGAAGCATATTCTTCAGCAGGGGGAAGAGAATGCAGGTGCAGGTTCCTTTGAGAAAATGAAGTCACATGGACCCCGGATGTCAGCCCTCAGCATCATAATACAGCCAGAAAATGCGCTCAGCCTGGACGGGAGTTGGGTGCTCCAGGTTCTAGACCTGCTTCTGCCACTAAGTCAACATGTGACCTTGGGCACATCATTTCATCTCTCTATGCCTCAGTTTCCTTTCTCCATAAAATACAGGGATGGGATAGGATTACGTGATCTCTGAGGTCCTTCTGGATTTAATATCCTGTGTTTCATCTATTCCAAGACCCACATTTTTTCCCACATTGTAACACCACTAAATTCAGGATGGGTCTTATAATGATGGCATCTCAAAGTCGAGGAAAGATGGTAAAATAAGAACGATAACAACAATGACTACCAGTGCACGGCACCAGCTTAAGAGCTTCACGTGCATTATCTATTTTAATTCCCCAGCAACCTTATGGGGTTCATATTACCTTTACCCTCCTTTTTACAAATGGGGAAACTGAGGCTTGCAGAGGAAAAATCACTTGTACAAAGTCATAGAGCTTATAATCAGTGAGGCTAGGATTTTAACACAGGCGTGACTGACTCCAGACAACAGTGATGACCTTGAAGTGGGAAGAAGAGGGAGGAAGAGGGAAAGAAAAGAAGAGGAGGAGGAAGGGGAGAGAAGGAAGCAGAGGAAGAAAGCAATGGCTGAACACCTGCTGCATGCCAGGCACCAGTGCTCTCACTCATGATGCTAGGAGCACCTGTTAATTTGGCTGCTGGGGTGGGGAATTCTGGGGCCCTCAGCCACGTGCCAGCCACCAAGCACAGAACAGGCTGGCTGGGTCTGAACTCATCATCCCAAAAGATGAGTTTTCCTTTGCCAAGGAAAAATCAAGAGCCAGAGTCTCCCAAGCAATAGCCCCAATATTCTATCTTACTGTCCACTTAAAAAAAAACCACAGGCTGTTATACGGATTCCAGCCTGGAAATTATTATATTTGCATCAACTCTGAACTATCCACTCCTTGTGTGTTATCCAAAGTGGGTCATTTCCACCCCTAAACCGCACAGGGCTCTCTTTCCTGAATGCCTGGCAGGTGAGTGGTAGGGAAGGTGGATTCATTTCACTCCCAGTCTGAGCCAAATGCAATTAGGAAGGCAAATCTGTAGCAATCTCATTGCACATCCTAAGGCCAAACACCAGATAATCTGCCGTGCTGGATTATTCCTCGGACCACTGAGTCCTCAGGAATGCAGGCCAGGGAATGTTGATCCGATGCCGAAAACAACCCCACGTTTCTTGTGTTTTTGACTTTCACACGCTCTCCCTGAGGACTGAGCCATCTGCCCCTTGGCCTTCCTCTCGGGCCTCATCCATGGAGCTGGAGCCGTCACTCGGCTAAAACCCACCCTTTGAAGTCCTGCAGTGAGATCGTGTCTCCCAGAAGGTCCAAGAACTCCTTGAAGGCTGGACTCTCCTCGTTGTTCCCAAATAGCTCCTCCTCCAGGGTCTGAAAGAGACACAGGAACAGGGGCAGGAGTTACAAAAATCCTCCTTGATGCCAAGAGAAGGAATATGGTTGTCCAGACACCCGGTCCCTTTCTTCTTCCCTTCTCCCTAGCTCTCAACACATGTGCCCCAACTGTCCTCACCAGGAGGAAGGAACTAACAGAGCTCGCTCGACAGAGCTGGATCTTCAGGGCTGGTTAACAAGGGCTTTCTCTTGGAGCAAAGGCTGCTGGTCAGTACATAAGGCAGAGCTGAGACAAAGAGTTCTCAGACTTGATTCAAAAACATGATCCATGCATAAGACACTGATTACAGGACTTCCACCAGAGGGCAAGTCTCAAGAATATACGAAGAACGCTCAAAACTCTAAAGTCATCAAAACCACAATGAGATGCCACTTCACCCCCACCCACTAGGATGGCTGCCATGAAAAAGAAAGGACAATAACAAGTGTTGGTGAGGATGCGGGGAAATCATAAACCTTCTCACACAGCTGGTGGGGATGTAAAATGACACAGCCACTTTGGAAAACAGTCTGGTGGTTCCTCCAAAGGCTAAAACACAGAGTTACCATATGACCCAGAAATTCCGCTCCTAGATATAGACCCAAGAGAAATAAAAACATATGTCCACACAAAAGCTTGTACATGAGAATTCATAGCAGCACTATTCATAGTAGCCCAAAAGTAGAAACAACCCAATGTCCATCGAATGATGAATGGATAAATAAAATGTGGTCCATTCATACAAGGGAATATTATTTGGCCCTAAATAAGGAATAAAGTACTGATACACGCTATAACATGGATGAACCTTGGAAACATTGTGCTTAGTGAAAGAAAGCAGACACAAAAGGCTACATATTATACGATTCCATTTGTAAAAGTCCAGAATAGGCAAATCCATAGAGACAGAAATTAGATTAGTGGGACTGAAGGGAGTAGGGACAGGGAGTGACTGCAAGTGAGTATGGGGTTTCTTCTGGGAGATGATGAACGAGTTCTGGAGTTAGATAATGATGATAGTTGTACAGTTCTGTTGTTATACCACAAACCAATGAATTGAGATATAAATCACATGTCATTGTGAATGATATGGCATGAGAATTATGCTCCGATAAAGCTGTTATTAAAAAATTTTTTAACTCAACAGTAAAAAAAAAATTCCATTTAGAAAATAGTCAAAAGACATGAACAGACATTTCACCTAAGAGGATAAACAGATGGCAAAAAGCACATGAGAAGACGTCCAACATCATTAGCCACAAGAGAAATGCAAACTAAAACCTTACGGCAATATCACCCCACATCTATCAGAAAGGCTGAAATAAAAAGCAGTGACAATACCAAATGCTAGCAAGGATGTAGAGAAACTGCATCCCTCAGAATTGCTGGTGGCAACGACCACTCTAGAAAAGAGGTTGGCAGTTTCTATCAAAATGAAACGTATATACAATTTTTTAAAAACTAAACAAATAATTACCACACAACTCAGCAACTGTACCCCTAAGCATGTAGCCCAGAGAAATGAAAACTTATGTTCACACAAAAATCTGTAGAAGTTATTCATATCAACCTTCTTTATGATAGCCCAAAACTGGAAACAACCCAGATATCCCTCAATGGGTGAATGTTTAAACAAACTGTGGTACAATTATACCATGGAATGCTACTCAGCGATAAAAAGGAACAAACTGTTGATATACTCAAAACTTGGATGAATCTTGCTGAGTGCAAAAGAGCCAAAAGGTTGTATACTGTATGATTCCATTTATATAATGTTTTTGAAATAACAAAGTTTTAGATTGGAGAACAGATTAGTGGTTGCCAGGGGTGAGGGACTGGAGGAAGGGAGAGGGAGGCAGAAGGGAGGATGGTTATAAATGGACAACGCAAAGAACCCCTGCAGTGATGGAATTCTTCTGTATCTTGGCTGTAGAACCTACACATATGTTAAAATTATATACATCAAAAGATGCACGCACACAATACACACAAATGAGTATGTGGAAAACTAGGGGAAATTGGAATAAGATCTGTAGATTGTATCGATGTTGATATCCTGGTTGTGAAATTGTGCTATAGTTTTATAAGACACTACCTTTGGGGAAAACTGGGTAAAGGGTACACAAGATCTCTCTGTATCAGTTTTTTTTTTTTTAATAATCGTATGTGAATCTGCAAGTATCTAAAAATAGTTTAATAATTTTTAAAAATGCAAAGCTGAAAACAGTAGCAAGTTCTGTAAACAGCAGTAAGTTTAAAACAAGACTGCCCTGACTGATTGAAAGGCTCTACCCACAGTGGCAGGCTCTGCAAACAGCTGAAGGTTCTGCAGACACTCACAGACTGCAATGAATGGCTGCAGAGGACAAAAGACCTAGCCTGCCCAGTCACTTCAAGGAGAAAGTTTCCAACAGCTTATTCTTTAACACCTCCCTAACACCTGCTTTATTACAAAAAAAGAGCAGACCTCAGACTCTAGAGTCTAATAGATTCTAGTAACTTTATTACTTACAGTATTTCTTTTTAGAATTACCTTCATTTCATGGTAAGTGATCATGTTTTTCCAGTTGAGAGAGGTGACATAAAATTTTAAAATTTTAAAATAAATGTATTTAAGTTTGAAAAAAAAATTTTTTAAAGAAACTGTTAAGTAATTAGCAGTACAGGTATGACAGAACGGTAACAGTGGCACACAGTGGAACAAACCATGTGATACGGATCCTCGATATGGTTTATGAGTGTCTGAAGTTTGAGAAATACCGCTCTCTAGCAGGGGTCAGCAAACTATGGCCCATGGGCTATCTGGCCTGCTGCCTGTTTTTATAAATAAAGTTTTATTGGAACACAGCCAGGCCAACACATTCATGTAATGTCTATGGCTGCTTTTGCACTACAAGGGCAGAGTTGAGTGGCCTGTGACAGAGACCCCCAAGGCCCACGAAATCTACAATATTTACTATTTGGCCCTTTACGAAAAAGTTTGCCAGTCCCTGATCTATGGCGTGCCATGAAGGCATCACAACTCTATCCAAGAGTCCTGTTTGCCCCAGGTCATGAGGCCAGAGGGTGGGAGAAGAGCTGCTTCTAGACAACCTACATCTCCTACTAGGAAAAGAATTGTGTGGGTGTTCTGGGGCATGTGCCTCTCTTCCAGGATTCATACCCAGCCTGGTATTAGCACTGTCATTATTTTTACACTGGCCTTGAGCTTGACCATGCATTCAGGGAGGGGGCCTTAGTCATCAATGCACCCCAGAGCGCTCGGCAAAGTGCGAGACAACAGGAGAGTTAGGTGAGGCTTATTTATATCCAAACACCAGCATAGGGCTTTTCTGCAACAAATGTTCACATTAAATGTCCCCCAGCTGTAGGTCTTCAAAACAACAATCTGTCTAGGTTTAAAAAAAAAAAAAAAAGATGAAGAATTTGATCTTCCTGGTTTTTCCCCCATAGCAGCATCAGGTACAACACACAGATTCCTTCTCAGAGGCAGATAGTTAATGTTCAGTAATTACAACTTTGCTGGAACATTGGGTTATAATCACCTTGTAAGATCTGCTATGGTAAGTTTCATAAGCAAAGAACTTTAATTAGAGGGGTTATATTAGCAGAGCTGTACAAAATAAAAATGTAATATATGAAAATAATTAGAGCGGCTACCTGAATAATCTCCCTTAAATTATAAGATTCATCAGTGTTGGTCTTGCAGATTCTAAACTCTTCACCTAATTAGAGTATTTTTACGCAAATGCATGTCTCTTGTGGTCTGATATTTTCAGACATGGAAATCAGGTGTCATTGAGCCAAGAAAGAGCCAAGAAAGACACCATCGTTTAGAAAAAAAAAAAAAAAACAAAAACACAGATAACATCAGAAGATACTACTGACCTGCCATTAGCAGAACCAAAAGTTTTATTCATTCACTAGTTCCCATAACAACTCAGCGTATTTACATAAAGCTCACTGACATGCTAGGCTCTTGGATGACACACAGATGAACTGGGTGTGGAACCTTCTCTCAAAGAACCTAGGTGAGAAAACCTCAGTGTGTCCAGCCAATCACTCTGCTTAGGATGTTAACAAATTGTTCATGACAGGAAAGAGGTAGAGAAGATGGGAAATTTGTGGCCAAATAAGTATAGGAAACAGTAAGTCTAACAAAGTTATAAAGAGTTTACCTTAGGGGTTCTTAGAGCCTTTAAAATGTTCCCATGTAAGTGACAACCCCTCCCCAAGCCATTTGCTCACAGGGTACATCACCAGACTGGTGCCTCATGGAACATACTTTGAGGAACATTATCCTGGCCAACTAACTTCAAAGCAGCACGTGAGTGATGCAGGAGACAGAGGAGGGTGAACCAGTGGCGGGCTGGTAAGTGCTTTAGCAATTGGCTCTCTCAAGGAGGAAAACAGAAACCCTTGTGTTTGCCAGTTTCCATGGTGTAAATATTTCCACTACGTCTGATTTTAAGCTACCAACATGACATCACCGAACACAAAGTTGGGAAGAGATGTGCACAGTTGGCTCCATCACTCCCCTGAAGTTTTGGGGAAAAGCTAATTTCCAGTGGGGAGAATGGTGGCAAGAGGAGGAGTGGGCTGTTCATCCATCTCCCCCCCACACACACACATCCCTAGCCTGATTTTTCTTGCAACAGACAGCTCATGGATAAGAGAACAGAAGCTGAGGTAGCCAGAAAGAATCGGAATTACGTATGAAAAACTACATCACCGTTTAAAGGATGTGCAGGCCTTTTTGTAAGGAGTGACCTTCCTTGAAGGTTCTGCCACCTCCAGTCTAATTCATACTCTAAATGTGACAGTTGTATTCAGAATGTGTGAGGACCTAGTTCACAGTGGTAGGAAAAAAAAAAAAAAAGAGTCCTCAGTGAAAAACCATAGGATGTCATGACCAGTAGGGACTCATGCTGCTTACCTGCCTGGCTTTTTGATAAATGACCCCAAATTTGAACGTGTTGTTGACATCATGTTCATCGTAGGACACAATCATCTGGGAGGCCTGGAAAACATGGGAAGAAAAAAAAACATTTGGAAGCAAATGAGGAAGCAAATGGAAGGGGACACACCCATTTAGGTAGAGAATGTACCTCCTGGTATGAAACATCCACATGTATGGAGGAAGAGAAAGGGAGAAATAATAAGGAGACAGGATGTAATTCCAAAGGTCTTAGCTAGCTTCCAACAACACCTGGGCTTCCCCAGGAGTAAGCAAACCTCTGTATCATCCTTTCCATTCCATCCAGATGTGCCGGCCAAGGCTTGGGCACATGAATCCTGCAGGACTCAGGGAACTGACCTTACCCCAGTGTTTTGTTTGTGGTGTAAAAAGTGAAGTCAGAATCCCAAAACCATTCAGCAAGGATGACCCCAGTTTTAATTCCACCTCTAATCAGCAGTATGACTTTGAGCAAGGCACTGCTCCTGCCAGACTTCAATCCCTTACCCATAAGATGAGAAGTCTCTAAGAAGACCACTCTAAGCAGGAACATACCCTAACACAATGTGCAAATAAGAAAGGAAAAACCCAACCATTGGGTCTATGTAATTTTCCACTATGCTTCATAGAGTTGAGGTCTGGGGTCAGAAACACTAAACTCTAGGGCCAGGTGTGATGGCTCGCATCTGTAATCCTAGCACTCTGGGAGGATGAGGCAGAAGCATAGATTGAGGCCATAAGTTCAAAACCAGCCTGAGGAACAGTGAGACCCATCTCGACAAAAAAAAACAGAAAAATCACCCAGGCGTGGTGATGCTTGCCTGTGGTTCCTGCTACAGGGGAGGCTGAGGCAGGAGGATCACTTGAGCCCAGGAGTTTGAGGTTACAATGAGCTATGATGATGCCACTGCAATATAGCCTGGGTGACACAGTGATATCATGTGTCAAAAAAAAAAAAAAAGGAAAGGAAGAAAAGGAGGGAGGGAAGGAAGGAAGGAAGGAAAGGAGATGAGGAAGGGAGGAAGAGAGGGAGGGAGGGAGGGAGGAAGGAAGGGAAGAAGGAAGGAAGGAAGGAAGGAAGAGGGGGAGGCAGGGAGGGTCAAAAGAAACACTAAACTCTGGTTTTGAATCTGCTGCTTGGCGGCTTCTACCTACTTAGCTTTGAGGGAGCCACTTCACTTCCCTGGGCCCCACCTGTTTTCTCATCTGTTAAATGGAGATGTGTGGTTATGAGAAGATTCAACGAGATCAGGCACATACGGTGCTGAGCCCAGAGCAGCTATCGTCAACATCATCTTCATCATCATCTACATAACCCTCCAGAAAGATCAGAGCTGAACCAGCTTATAGAGAAAGAGAAGGATATTGGGGGACACCACTGGGACACCCTCTGCAATAAAAAGGAGGGATTCAACCACGAGTTATGCTAGGAAAGAACAAACCAGGCATGACTAGTTGGCGGGAATATGTGGCCCATACTAGGTTGCCACCCACTTGATCTCTGAGGTTCTCGGCTCCCATGGCGAGGGTGCTGCTGACCAGCCTTAGGGGGGCCCCCACTCCTGCCCGGGATGGTCAATGGGGAGAAACGGCGGCCCTGCCATGGAGAGGCACCAGGCCAGTGAAGACCTTCCAAGGGATGCTCTAAACTCTGCGAATTTTAAAAACACACACATGCACGCATCTCAGCCAGATGACCACCCCAGCCGGACTCCGCAGTCCTTCAAAGACAGAAAACATGAAAATACAGCTTGCTCTTCCGTTAGCACCAAAGCCGGAGGCTTTTCCAAGTTATACAGGAACTATGCAAATAAACACCACTGGTTCTCGCAGTAGATAGGATTTGACAACAAAAATTGCCAAACCTGTAGTTAAGTTGGGCCTTTAGGATGGGGCTTTAATATTCGGTTAAACCTCACTAAGTCAGTTTTAATTACAAAGGGGAGGTCAGTCTGAACGACAGAAAATGTTCACAGAGTGTGGGATACTCCTGGTCAAGTATCTACAGATGCCAACTGGTTAAGGGGGACATCTGAGAGAAGGGCCCTGTGCAGGAGAGGACTCTGCCACTAGCTAAGCCATCGCAGATGGGTAAATCAGTGTCCCTAAGAGCATCATGCCCAATGGGGAACATGTAAGACATTTATTCCAGGGGATTCTGGATGTCTCAGCCAGAACAGGGCCTCTCTCCCCCACGAGACATCTCGTTATGGACAGAACCAGCCCGCACACCGCCCGGCACGCCACGGCTGCCACAGCGCAAGCCCAGGAGCACAGCCCTGCTTCCGTCTCCTCTCTCCGGACCCTGCTGGCTCGCAAAGAAACAGCTGGTGCACTTGGTCTCTCCCTGTGGCCAATTTCGAGCAATTCACCGTCCATGAGTGACTGAAGTCCTGTCGTACCGTAATTGCTTTGAGTGGGTTTGTTGGTTTGTTTTGTGATCACTGCACTTCTCCACCCTCACACCCCCCCATATTAGAACAGGGGATCAAAATCAGGCCAATCCTAAGGAAACCGATATCCGAGAACCAGCCAGTTTATTGCAGTAACTAAGGCTGGGTGGAGGCTTGTAAGGCCTCAGAGATGCAGGAACATGGGCCACCGAGAGCCGCACCTGGCTCCATGACAGCAAACTGCATGTGCGCCAGTCCCCAGCTACAGCACTGGCTTCAGGGAGGTACGGCCCGGGGGGAGGCGGAGGAGGTGTAATGTTGCTGCCCTCTGCCACCTTCACAACAGGCTGGGGACCAATTCAACTGGGCCGGAGACCTAGCGTGGCTGAGGATGGGTTCCCAGTGGACCAGTCTGTAAAGGGGTGGGCAGGAAGTGAGGGAGATATGGAGGTTCATTGTGGAGACCCTACAAAACCCCACCATGATGCAGAGAACTCCCCACAGGGCCCCAGGTGTGCGAATCCATGCCAGGCTGCAGAGCCCATGAAGGTCCTCTCACCTTGGGGTACAGGACAGGGTTGAATTTCAGCCCCACTGCATCGTCACAGAAAGCCTGAGCAGGGAGAGAAACACACAGTTCAAGGACCACATCCACAGAGCACACCTGGGCTCCTCCACCCCCCGCGGGAATGCAAGCACAGGAGGGCAAGAAACACTGGTCTGGCCCTCAAATTCTGGCTCTGCTGCTCACTACCGTATGCCCAGGTAAGTCAACTGACCTTTCTGGGGGTTCCTGATAAAGTGAGAGGGGGACAAAATGAAGCCTGAGACTTGTCTCCGTTCTGACCTGAAGACAATGCCAAAAAACCAGCCACCCCCTCTTTCCACCCAGGGTATTTCAGCACAGCTCTGCCTAGCATTCCTGCTCCCAGAGTGAGGGTCTAACCCAGGCATCCTCAAACTACAGCCCGTGGGCCACATGCAGGTGTTTTTGCCCATTTGTTTTTTTACTTGAAAATAAGACATGTGCAGTGTGCATAGGAATTTGTTCATAGTTTTTTTAAAACTATAATCCGGCCCTCCAATGGTCTGGGGGACAGTGAACTAGTCCCCTGTTTAAAAAGTTTGAGAATCCCCTGGATTCTAACCCAACCCAGCTGAACATCCTTCTCACCCCACCTTGCTGACTCAGTTCCCAAAGCAGTGACATGGGCCCCTCCACCGGCTGACAGCTCCTTGCTCAAGGAGGAGCTCAATCTGGATCATCCTTCAGCCCAACTAGGGGTCCTCCTCTGCTGTGACAGCTCCCCTGGCCACCCCTCCCCACCCCTCCTCTGAACTGCTATAGCACTCGCCTTATCCAGCCCTGTCCTCCCACTTCTCCTGTCTCCTGAACTAGCTCTGAACTTCTTGGGGGCAGAGACCATGAATTACACTGTTCCCGCAGCAGCCTCAGCAGCAAGGACAAGCTGGGGACAGTGTAGGAAAGAGATGGAGGCATCTGCCAACAGCTTCCTCCACCCCCATCTATGCAGTCAAGGGCCAAAGAGTAAAGTGGCTCCCCCCTCCCCAAGGGCAGCACCTACCCAGGACAAGCCTGCACCCCCAATGCAGAGGCCAGCCCTGGGCTGATAAAGGAAGGCACCCGCTCTTGGGTTGGTTTTTACCTTTGCAATCTGGGGGACGCTGGGCAACTTGCTCAGTCCAGCCAAGGGGATCCGCTCATGCACCGTCTTCAGTTTGGACCTGCGCATGTGGATAAGGGTGAGAAAAGGACAGTCACAAGAAACTGAGGAGTGAATGAGGGAGGTGGCTGAGACCACGCCAGACAGGGGCACTTGCTTCAGGTATCCCTGGGGTCTGAACTGCCCTGTTTCACCCAACCCATGTGTTGGGCACTACTCAATTGGTGGGAAAATGGAATCCCACTTAGGTACCCCAGTGGAAGTGGACATTTCAACAACATGCCTGGTCAATCTGTCCGCCACTGAAAAATACAAACAGCCACCTTCAAGGTCACCATTATTTTTGTAGGATTTTGTGTTCTCCCAAAGAACTGGGCACAGCTCCCAGATATATTTGTGTTTTGACACACAAATGAACCTTTATGAAAAGAAACTAATATTTGAAAATATGGATTTACTCAAAACACGAATAGGATGGAGTTTGCTTTATAAAGGGATTCACCGTGAGACTCTAAATTTAGCCTGTTCCGCCCTGATTCATTTAGCACGCACGCTATGAAAGTGTTGAATTTTACTGAATGCTTTTCTGCATCTGCTGAGATAATCATATGGTTTTTCATCTGTTAACCTGGTGAATTACATTTCTGTTGTGCCATCTTTTTATTCCATGGGTAAAAACTCCACTTGCTTTTGATGTATTGTTTTTAATATCCTGCTGAATTTAATTTATTAATACAGGAGTCCCCCCTAACCCAGGGTGTCTCTTTCCACGGTTTCAGTTACCCATGGTCAACCACGGTCCGCAAACACAATAATGAATGGAAAATTCCGTAAATAAACAACTCGCAAGTTTTAAATTGCCATCGATTCTGAGTAATATAATGAAATCTCACGTCGCCCCCCTCTGTCCTGCTCCATCCCACCCAGGACGTGCACCATTCCTTCGTCCAAAGCATGCACGCTGTATGTGCACAGTCCCTGCCCGTTAGTCACTTAGCAACCATCTCACTGATCAGATCAGCTGTGACACTATGGCAGTGCTTGTGTTCAGGAACCCTTATTTTACTTAATAATAGCCCCAGAGCCCAAGAGTACTGATGCCAGCAATTCAGATATGCCAAAGACAAGTAGTAAAGTGCTTCCTTTAAGTGAAAAGGTGAAAGTTCTCTACCTAATAAGGAAAGGAAAAAGGATTCATATGCCGAGGTTGCTAAGATCTACGGTAAGACAGAATCTTAAATTGTGAAGAAGGGAAAAGGAATTCGTGCTGGTTTTGCTGTCACATGTCAAAACTACAAAAGTTACAGCCACAATGCATAAGTACTTAGTTATGGAAAAAGCACTTAATTTGTGGGTGGAAGACATGAACAGAAATGTGTTCCAATTGACGGCAGTCAGCTTTGGGACCACCTGAGGTTTCAGGCATCCACTGGGGGATCTTGGAACGTATCCCCCACGAATAATGGGGGATTAATGTGTTTTATTTAAATTTTCATATGTATGTTCAAAAACAACACTGGCCTTTTTTTTTTTTTCTTGTACTTCCCTTGCCAGGTTTTGATACCAAGGTGTTATTCTAGCCTTGTAAAATTGCTGGGTAGCTTCTCATCCTTTGAAATAGTTTGTGTAACAGGGATTGTCCACTCCCCAAAGGTCCATTAAAAGCCCTCTGTGACATCTCTGGGCCTACTATTTTTTTAATGGGAGGATACTTTTCGCTACCAATCCAAATTCTTTACCGGTGAATGTTTAGGTTTTCAACTCCTTGTTGGGTCAATCTTGGTAATTTATGTTTTTCTACAAAAGTATCTGTCAAAGACATTGATACAAAATTGTTTGGGGAATTCTCTTAGGACTTTTCCTTAATTGGTCTTAGCTGGAGGTTTACCTATCTTGCTAGTCTTTTCTAAGAGATAGCTTTTGGTTGTGTTGATCATCTATTCTTTTATATTTTTGCTTTCTACTTGTAGTCTGCTCTTGTCTTTTTTATTTCCTTCATTCTATTTTCAATCAGGGCTTTTTTTTTTCCCCTACTATTCTTTTTCTAACTTCCTGACCTACATACTTACTCATTTAATCTTTCTTCTTTTTTACAAGTGCATTTAGAACTACACAACTCTCTAAATACCACTTTAACTGCATCCTACACATTTTGATAGGTACTATTTTCACTGTCATTTAGTTCTAAATATTTTGTCAGTTCTTTCGTGATTTCCTCTTTAGCCCATGAGTTATTCCAAAGGATTTTTTTTAACTTTCCCAATATGAGATTGTTTTTCCTTCAGTATCTTAAATTGATTTATATAATTCAATTGTTTTCTATTCAAGGAACATAATCTATATGGTATTATTTGAAAATTATTGACTTAGTGCATGGACTTTTTAATTTTTTTCACATTCCAAGTAGGCTTAAAAATGTATTTTTTTTTCTTTTGTTGAGAGCAGGAATATATGTTACAAGATGAAACTTAACTGTATTATTCAAATATTCTACATCTTCATAATTTTTTCCTGCTTAATCCATTGGTTTCTGAGAGATGTTATTAAAATCTCCTATTATAACTGAGGGCGTGTCTACTTCTCCTTATATTTCTGTCAGTTTTACTTTTTTAAATTCAAGACCATTATTACTAAATACAAGTTCATCACTGTCAGATCTGGGTGTACTGATTCTCTTTTTTTTTTTTTTTGAGACAGAGCCTCACTCTGTTGCCCAGGCTAGAGTGCCGTGGCGTCAGCCTAGCTCACAGCGACCTCAAACTCCTGGGCTCAAGCGATCCTCCTGCCTCAGCCTCCAGAGTAGCTGGGACTACAGGCATGTGCCACCATGCCTGGCTAATTTTTTCTGTATATTTTTAGTTGTCCAGCTAATTTCTTTCTATTTTTAGTAGAGACAGGGTCTCGCTCTTGCTCAGAGTGGTCTCAAACTCCTGAACTCAAGCAATCCTCCCACCTCAGCCTCCCAGAGTGCTAGCATTACAGGCGTGAGCCACCTAGCCTGGCCTGGGTGTAATGATTCTTGATCATCATGTAGGCTGTGGCCTCTGAGGCAGCCTAGTATAAGGCATCCTTCCCCTGCCCAGGTTCTCAACAAATTCAGAAACAAACAAACAAACAAAAGACAGAGTAAGGTGTTGGGAGTCAAAATAACTCCTTTCTTACTGATAAAGATCAAGTGGGAGCACATAGCTTAATGCGAAGATGAAATGGGTCTGACTAAACCCCAGAATTAGCCAAACACACCTACCCAGTCACAGGTAGTGCTGGGCCGGGGCAAGCCCCCTCCGGTGAGGGCTGCTTAGGTGAGACTAGTACAAGAGATCCTTTGCGGGGGACAGAATAAGTCCCCGCTCCCAAACGCACCAATCAGAGAGGACAGGGAGAGCTGGGGTGTTACACAAAAGTGTTCCCTCCACTCTTCAGGAAACATCACAAGTGCAGAAGAAGTAGGCTTTTGTCCTGAAATTCTGTTTTGTCTAATATTAATATTGCTATGCCAGCTTTCTTGGTTAGTATTTTCCCAGTGTATCTTTTTCCACTCTTTTATTTTGAATCCATCCACATATTTTTCCTTAGTTATGGCTCTTGCGTGCAACCGGGAGATAGTCAGGATACGTATTTTAAGTTCAAGATACTGATCGCCACTTAACTACTCTTCCCAGTAGCCTACATCCGTTCCCGAAACTCTATATGTGCATCGAACTTATTCAAAGTCTCTGAGAACCTTAGATTTTCCATCCTATACTCTCTTAATCTTTCTATTCGCTAGTGTTTCCTTCCTTGTCTTTTTTTATCGCTTCTGCTTTTGACTTAATCAAATTACTGTACTTTTTGTTTTTTTTCTTTATTCATTTTTTGTGTTAGATCACTCTTGGGCCATAAGTCTCGTTGGAGCTTACGAGGTTCTTATCCTTCCTATGAGTCTTTAAATATCACATATTTAAACTATTTTTTTCAAGCCAAAGCTCTGTAAAATTGTTTAAGCCTTTCTACTTGAAGCGGATCCCGCACCCGGCCTAAATGAGAGGGAAGTAGAGCGCTTCGGGCTGGTGAATATTGAAAACTTTCCTCCGCGTCTGGTCTTGCTACTTTGGTTCTATAATTAGTTCAAGCTTTTTTTTTTTTTTTTGTGTTTTTTTTTTTTGAGAGCAAGTGCTTGCTTGGGCAGGCTAGGATGTAGGGAGTAAATGGGCATCATCAGTAGCTGTCACTGGGCAAGCCTCAATCCTGGGACTCAAGGATCGTCAGCCTGTCAGCTCCTGTAGGTGACGACTGGATTACAGCGGCGGTGCATTGCCATCACATCCAGTAAGTTTTGTATGATTCGTTGCACGGAGAATGGTTATTGCTCGTTGCTCAGGCGTGTGTTTCCAGTGCTTCTGACTCAGCAATCTGGCCGGTCGCTGCGACCTCCAGTAGTGGCTGCGGCCGCCCCACAGAGGTGGCTAGGTTCAGCCTCTTTTAAAACATGCAAAACAATTATTTTTTCCAGTCAGGAATTAAATTGTGAATTCAACAGAGTTTGTAGGCCCGGTAGTTTGCGTGTGTGCGCTTTCTAAATAAATTATCTTGTTAGGGTTGCTGTTCTCTGGCAGTGTAGTAAGTGTTTGTATTACAGTTCTTGCAGAACAATTGTGTGAGAGGAGTACTTATACTATTTTTGTATGTCTGAAGAGTTTTGTGTTTGTATTACAGTTTTCGTAGGTAGAGAATTATGAGGTGTAAGAGAGGTTATTGTTCTTTACTTTTTCTGAAAACTTAAAGATCTGATGTCGTATGTGTGCAGTCCAACAATGTGGTCATGGCTAAGATACTGTCATTATTTTATCGATAATCTGTCGTGTTTATCTTGGGTAGCTTTAAAGAATGTGTTTTTAAGTCTTTGATTTCTGATGTTTCACTTCAACGTGCTAAAAGTATTGTTGGTTTTGAAAATTGGTGCTCAGCAGCATGGTGTCTAAGTTGTTGTTTAAACTTCTCGGAAACAGTGTCTCAAAAGCTATTACCTCTCTTGAGGAGGTATTTGTTCACTAGCCTCTCTTTTGGCGTGGTTCTGGCGTG